TGTCAAAGCGAACAAGAAACCACACGGAAATAATCGCATTCAAAGAGTATTTCAATCTGCGACATGAACATTTAGAATTCAAAATTAACGGAAACACATGATATGAAGTGAAAATTCCCATGTCAAAGTGAGGGAATTAACTTCTTTAATGAATATAGGATGAGTTGTGAACAAACATTTTTGGGGCAGTTGGACTGCGCGATGATCGCATCGATGGTATATTTGTAACCAGCAACCAACTGGATCCGAGCTTTTCTTACTTCCACCAGAATCCAATGATACGCATCGTTAGATTGTTGGTTTAGCTTATCGATGGCCCTCCAGGACATTTCCTGGAAATACGTTCAACCGACTGTACGACCAATTTTATCCAGTTATTTCACACCAAAGAATCGATATGTTTTTAAAAATGCATGAGCCATCATCCAGTCATCCCGAAATGAAAGTATTTTGCAAACGTGAAAAATTTCGGCAATCAACGGTTCACAAATCCACAAAAAAAATTGAATGTCCGCAATCTGACCTAGACACAAACCTTATATTGTTTGTCAGTGACTTTATCGATATCCTTATATTCACCAACGTTACCTTCAGCACATGCCGCCAAGGCGAATCCGATGAGCAAAGCCACATTGAGTAACATCGTTATACTCACTGAACTGCTTGAAATTCTTGACAGATTAGGTTTCTTAAGGTGTTGTTGCTTCGTTGCGGTGAAGGCGCAAGTCAAATGCAAAATCAAACCCCAAATTGATCAGTAAATGCGAAACGATCAACAATAGATCACTTGTATCAACTGAGCCAGGTTCAAGTTGGAGAATTAATATCGCAAATNTTGCGGTGAAGGCGCAAGTCAAATGCAAAATCAAACCCCAAATTGATCAGTAAATGCGAAACGATCAACAATAGATCACTTGTATCGACTGAGCTAGATTCAAGTTGGAAAATTAATATCGCAAATATGACGGTAACACTTTCATGAAACGAACACACTCATGAGGTTTCATACTTGTTGAACAAAAACAAAAGACCTATACGCATTGATATTGATAACGAAATCGCGGCTCGCACTCAAAGCAGGTAATGTATTGAGCTTTCAAAAACAATCAATGGAAGAAAGCCTGATGTGATTTGCTCACCGCCATCACCTCAACAGCACAATGCCATATCGTATTATCCATCCATCTTTCTAGTAACAGTTGTTCACTTCGGCTTTATTACAGCTGATCGTTAGCGTAATCGACCTTGGCTACATTAAATGATGCGCGCATTAGCGTATTACATTCTCAGCATTGTGAAGGGTCGCTTGATATATTAAACACCGACTGACAAACTTCATCAGGATTTACATAATGAAGAAATAGATCTTTGAGATCAGACGAATGAATTGCCGTTTCAATATGGGTCATTGTTGGTGGGGACTCATCCAGGAAGCATTACCTTGGTCTCTATAGAAAAATCAACCCAGAATAATTAGAAATTATCCCATATGATAGTTACACAACTAACATCGAACAATGGCTGATATTGTGATAATTGGTTTGCGTGGACTGGCATAAACTTATCAAATGGTATAAACTGTCCGTCACTGGCATAAACTCATCAGTTCACAATGAATGAGACGCAAAAATTATGCAGACGAATAGTCTGAGAAAGTGATGAAATCAACTGAGAGTGAATGACTCATCATATTTCACAATTGTTGCTTTGATCTTAGTGTAGTCAGAAGGGCACCATTCACGAATACGCTTTCTTGGAAACACTTGCTGAATATACAATGAAAAACACTCAAGCTGCAACACTGCTCTCCAGCTTGAGTCTAATCTCCTACTTTGTTAAAATCTTGCAAATGCATTAAAATGAATTACCGTTCAGATGACGATTCAGAGCGATATATTGCTCAATTCTAGCTAATGTATTGCACAGCTAATCATTGATTGATGCTTGGTTGATGACGGATGACATATGTGGCTTTCCGACTAATGAAATGGCCAACTCGTTAGCTTTCTTGATTGCTTTGGGCTGAACATATGGCAGACGATCACTCAGCCTGCATAATAGTCGCTGCTCCAAGAAGGTGGTGCCTCCAAAATTATTTCCGCTAGACCAATCAGATTCAAGGCGAAAGATTTCTGCTAACCTAACTTCTTGGCCGAATCATGCGCTTTCAAATCCAAAAAAATCTTCATTAACTTATCCCTACGAAATCTCAAATTAAATCATGTGGCAATCGACTGATGCTTAGCGATAATTTGCTGTCCTATTCTCTGCAAATAGTTCTCTTCCTTCAGAAGTCATTGAAACCAACCACACCATATTGCAAGCACATATTCAAATTATAGCATCGCAGATTTTAATCGTTGCACATCGTTTCTTTGCCACTTATTTGTTCAGTTGTGTTTATGAGACTGGAACATTCGTGGGACAATACTCGTTCATCTTATTTCACAATCATATGCAAAGTGTCAAGATGTTATTGATGCATTTCAACGTAACACACTGAAACGCAATAAACTCTAGCACGATCCCGTTTCACTTAACATATTGAATCAAATCTCCCAATGAAAATCGCTTATATAAACTGCAAATTGCCTTTACTATTAGCTAATCAAATCCTTCGTATGCGACAATGAAACGACGAAACGTACGAGGATTTATTTGATTACTGAATGCGACAAAGTGTAAAATTAGTTTTAAAAAAAAGTGAGTCATGAATTAATTATCTCACTGAAATGCGATTTTAACGACTCACATATAACTGAACGATTTTGATAGATTCAACAAACCGAACTAATGAGAGGGCTGAATTCGCTGAATATGAAAAATATTACAGAATAACAAATTCATCAAAAATGATTTTTTCACCATATAGCGAAAAATCTTACAAACTGCAATATGAATATATAACATTACAAATCACATCAAATAACTACTTCGATTCAATATTCGTTATCATATAGAATGCACAATTGATTTAAAGGTAAGGCAGATAAAATTATGCGGGTTACAAACACCGTTTACCTG